CCAGGGGTTGTACATATATCCATGGCATAGCAGCACTGGTACCTGACTTGATAATTGGGACAGCTGCAATTGTAAAGTCAAGCAGGCAAACTATGAGTGTTTCTTGTTAGATGGATTATTCATCATTGGTGATGGTACATATACAATCATGTACTGTTATACTTTTACTCACTGTTACCGGGTAGTTGACAGATAATGATGGTGTGACTTTTACACCTACTTGTAGAGGCATGTAGCACCATCCTCCAGTGTACAATAAGTGCCATCATCTAGCGACATTTGTCCGTTTTCCAGAATTTCTCCTGTGTCCACATTTAGACACTCAATGCCCATGGGTTCTTCACAGATGTCATATCCTGCCTCCCGTGCTGTATCATCGTCTTCACTCTCCGGACCCGGCGCTGCAGTTACATGAAGGAACATGCTAGGTACGGAACAGCAAGCACTGTTTAGGACACACTGACTTAATTTTATGGATGACATCCGCGCGCGCATTGATTTTCTCCTGTCGCCCTCAAAATAAAAAAAAAAAAGATCACGTCCACGGGCTCTGTCCTCAGGCTCTAGGCCTGGGTAGTCCATGGTAGTCAGCGACAAAACGGAGCCGAGCACCCAGGCTACCGAAGCTCCACGACTCAAGAACTCAGTACATAAGTACATGTACAGTACCGATTCATAAATGCCGCAAAAAGCCAGCATGTCGTATACGTTGCTATGTACTGCCGAAAATTCACAATACCTGGGCTTTGTATTCCTGTGGTTTATAATTAGTAGCATTTTTATTTTTGGTCGGATTTTTTTTTATTCGCCCGCGCGCACTAGTTTTGGGGTCTTCAGAGGATGTCATCCATAAAATTAAGTCGATGTGGCCTTATCAAGAATTTTAGGGTTGTAACACTCAATATATCCAATCATCCCATTTTCACATTCGTAATTTGTAGAATGAGGACGATGACGAATTTGTTGAATATCATACCAGCATGTACAGCAATGGTATTACAAAATGCGTGGCGGAGGCGAAGTCCATCTCCCAGTTCAAAGCAGAGCTGGGACGGGCTTCGCTGCATTGAGCTGCCTCCCTGTCCTTTATACATATGTAAATATGTGTAATACCAACATCACTGATTTTCACTTGCCCTTTCTTGCACTTGTCCATGTCCACCCCTATCCTATCCTTTGTTTGCACACAGGTACTAATTTTGTGCATCGCAGCTGCTAATAATCCTCTCACAGAGGAATAAGCAGTTGTGAAGAAAAAGAAGAGTGCGCTTGCCTTCCTGCATGAGAATGTATAAGAAATAACTTACTTCCAGTTGTTTCACAAATGAACTGCCTTGCGATGTCACAGCTGGCAGCCATGAGTTGTCCATTCATACTAACAAGACATGGCTCCATCATGGACCCATCAGGAACATCCCTAGAGAAGATGAGGGTGAAAGCAAACATCTTGTTTCTACTACTATTAGTATTTCTATATTTGAAATGAGTTGATATCATTATGGTTATAATCAAATGTTTCTACAGATACGTTAATGTTTATTTGATTATTATTATTTCTATGTTTGAAATGAGTTGATATTATTATGACTATAACTATATCAAATGTTTCTACAGATAGAAATAATTGATTATTATTATTTCTATGTTCTGTATAATTTTCCGTTTCTATTGTATTATTACCTGGATGGTTCAATTTCTGTGTCATTTTATGTGAAAGAATAAAAATAAAAAAACATCTTGTTTCTACACTGTATAACTATAACATAATTTGAATAAAATATTTATTATTCTAGTATATCACTATGTCGGCTAAGGTTCTAACTCGACAAATGTTTGATACCTTATTCATATCATATCTTTAGTAAAATAAAAAGGCAAACGAGTAGTAAAATTTCATTAAAAACATAAAAAAGGAATCTTACAGCCGTTCCAAGATGTCGTTTCCGACATTGTCATTATCCCAAACCCATTTGTTCAAGTACATTTCCCACGTAGCACCAACATAGAAAGTGTCAGATCCAAATTGCTCCATTATAAAACCCTGTAAATGAAAACAATACAATCACACATTGCTTATAGCATGTCAACATTGTCAACTTCGTGTATGATCGTAAGCTACGGGCAGAAGTAACAGCACACAGTTTCACATTATATTGCTTTCGAGGGAGGTATTCCATATTCTATAATGGCATAGCTAGAGACCATAAGGCAGCCGATTTTGGACAATTGTCATAACTATGATGATTCTTGACAGATCATTGATATTAATGAAAGCTCATCAGACGACCTTGAGAATAGCTGATAGACATGAACAATTTTGATGTGCTCAATGGTCTAACGATGCTAACAGTCTTGCCACTGAGCAATACCAATTTAAATACAAATTTCTTTTAAAGTTATTAAGTAAGAGGCAATGTGATATGGTTGTATTTACCGCTTCATCCATAGATGAGTAAACCACCACTGTGCCACCGAGAGCATCACAGTATATTGTTGCTTGCTGATACGTTTCACTGTCTTCTGGTGGTACTAGAAGGTAGCACGACAGTCCAAGAGACTGATCACCATACTCGCAAACTGTGTGTGAGAAGAGTAACAGTTACATGTATAATGTGGCAAGTGCTGCATATACATGTGTACAATATTCATGTCCAAATTAGTAGATTGGTTTATTATTGTTGCTTCACAACAAACATTTACAGTCTTGCAGTGTAAGTAGTAACTCGCACTGAATTGAACTGGTAAACATCAATATAACAGGTAGTGACATAACATATTTAAAATACAGGTAGAGATATCACGATTAAAATCACTCGTTACATATAGTCGTGCCATTATTCATATAAAAGTAATAACATATCATATTTAAAATAGAGGTGGAAATATCATATTAAAATCACTATATTACAAATAGTAGCAGCACAAGGATCTATAAACTAAACCAAAGTCAGGTAACAATTGTGTGACTAGTAGTTGATCAAGCGCGTTAAATTGCTAAGTAAATCATAATATGTTTATACAAGCTGCATCAGTTCTGATATATGCACCATACAGGCCTGCAACGTGAAACTAAGCAATACCACAGACAATTGGGCTAAAGAAGGAAAATAACACTTCTCTACTATGTTACTTGCCTTAAAAGAAATCTTTTAATAATTGTTGGACCTTTTGACCAACAATTACGTTTACCTTAGACGACTGATTGTTTTCTATTGATACTAATGACAGTTTTTTCGGGGCCTGGGAACTGGATGTACAGATTTTGGAAGGAGGCTCGTAGGGTAATCTGGCCTCCAGGCAATATCATGGCTTGTTAGCATGGGGAACAGGAAAGAATTTGTCCAGTAGAAAACGACGAATTACCAACAATAGACATGAAAAAAATGGTCGAAAAGTAAAAAAAATGACAAGTACCCCCCCCCCCCCTTCACTATTGTAAGATCATGTTATGTTGGGCTCCAGCCTGCAAAGTTAGCCCAGTAAACTATCTTGCACCAAATATCTGCATTGGTTATTGTATCAGGTAGCAGGGAGGTTTATTGGTGATAGCACCACAGCGTTAGGTTTTCAAGGACCAACCTGTCTCTGGACAGTGCAGATCTATCCATGGACCCCATTCACACACAGGTGCACATACTGTAGTTTCTGGAGCGGCAGTTGTGGGGGCCTCAGTAGTGGTTGGTGCTGCCGTAGTAGTGGGTATCGGGCATTCCTCAACTGGGATACACCTGTTGTTTTTTCAGAAAGTTTTACTAAACATTGTGCAGCAATTAAAAACCCCACATACATCAACATTTGTATATCAATCCAGTGTATAAGCAGGTGCAGGTTAGGTGCTGGTAGACATCAGAAATACCTGCAGAGCTCCAATTTTACCCGTGCACCCAGTAACATGTAATCGCAAGACGTGGGTACGGCAAACTCGTTTTTTTTCAACATTAATGCTGCCAACAACACGGGGCATACAATACTCGCTTTTACCTTAGCAAAGTGAGGAAAGCCGTGTTAGCAAAGTGAGGAAGTGCCTGTTCCCAATTGCACAAGATCGGTGACATGACAGGACTCGAACTCGGGACCTCTTGGCTCGAGTTCTCTACCGTTACGCCACGCGACCCCACTATTTCGAGCCCTGCAGGCCTATGTACTAGAACTAAGGAAATAAATTTGTGCAGAGATGGTCGCCCAAAAAAGAGATGGGTTGACAGTATTAGGGAAGACATCAAAAGCTTGAAACTACAGAAGGCCAACCTGCTAGACAGAGGCAGCTGGAGAGTAGCTATTAGACCTAAACGACACCCCACGACGTCCAACCCTTGCATGACGGGGAACAACGGACGTTAAGCCGTGCAGTGAGTGAGTGAGTGAGTGAGAGATACCTGTGACCAAACAGCACTTCTCCGGGTTGGCACCGTGGATGGCACCCTTCAAAGCAGCCGAGGTCGCAGTGCCCGGGCCAGGGATCCTCGCACGTCGGAGGGCAGGCTGTGCCGCAAGGGTCGTAGTGCCACTCACACTCGTCATCCACATTCAGATCCTCACACTGAGTAGCTGTGTGGGGCAGATATCATTTTCTTTTTACTTTGATTTCATTTAATTTGAGTCATTGAAACAGTGCAATACACATGGGGCACAGGCAGCTGTTGCTGGTGTTGTGACCCACACAAAAAAGCAAATACAGGACAGACAACATCTGAGTTAAGTGTGTTAAGTGTCTTTCCCAAGGGCACAAGATCAATGGCATGTCAGGACTCGAACCCGGGACCTTTTGGTTATTTCCTTAAAGACACCCATCCCAAGACCACAAGAAGCAATTTTGTACTTTCTGTTACAAGAGGATATACTACTAGTATGTTTCTCTTGAGTCTACTATTTATTTGACACCCCCCCTCCTCCCAAATGTACACTCGACCCCCATGAAAAACGGCCCAAACTGGCCTAATGGGGTAAATAATCTGTAAATCGAGTATAAATAAAGGCACAAACAAACGAACAAGCCTACTTACGACATATTTCCTGGGTTCTCCAGCGCACGTGGAAGCCGTATCGACTGCACTGGTGAGCAAATTCCGCCACAACTGTGCAGAAGCATTCGCAATCACCACCGCTGTCACAGCCGCACGTATCATAAATACATGCTTCATAGAAGTCCTTGGGGTTGATCTGTAAGATTTCAAATTTTACATGTATTCTTTTAATCAGAAATGAGGAAATCCGAGCCATGCTGGGAATGGAAAATACCATAATTGACGACATTCGTAAAAGAAGGCTGAGGTGGTTTGGTCACGTTCAGAGGAGACCCCCAGACTCTTTGGTATATGGGGCCTACCATCAGGATTTCACAAACCCCAGACCTAGAGGTAGACCCCCTAAAAGATGGCGGGACCAGATAGTACAGGACACGGGGTGGTCCCTCAAGTACGCTGAACGAAAGGCTAAGGACCTTGATGCCTGGCGGGAAAAAATGAAGAGGAGCAAGGGGCCAGTCCTGGCCAAAGCATTTAGGCAGGTAGGCAGGCATTCTTTTAATTGCATGTAATACTATGTGTTGTATAACCAGTCAGACATGCAATTGCTGTACAAAAAGGTTTTGTAGTATTATTTCTATTTTCAGTCTTATTCGACCTAGTAACTTTTCAATCCTACTCGACCTAGTAACTAAAAGCTAACTTCGTACAGGGGGCGGGGGAGGGTGTACGGTGTACGAATTAGGAGTGACTTATCTGAAAATAATGGACAGGTGACTTAGCGTCACTCCTAACTTCGTACATCGTACTTCGTACACACACCCGGTCTCCCGTACGAAGTAAGGTTATTGGTTACGTCAGTTGGGGCTTACGCCATAGGGAATTATGTCACATTGTACTTCGTACACTCACCTGGTCCCCCGTACTAAGCTAGGTTACTGCTTAACTTGATTTTATACCATTCACCCTGGTACTTGGCATAACTGTATTCCTTACCACACTGTGACAGGCCCCAAATAGCTCATGGTTCATAATGATGCCGCAGTGCCGCCTGGCCCAGGGTTCACGATGGGGATTGCGCTCGCATGGAGAGATAGCCCTTTCTTGGTCTGGACAGGTCTGGCGAACAAAACACGAAATGACACTGTAAGAATTTAGACACTGAACAAGACTATTTCTTGAGAGGGGTGAGGGAGTCCATATACATCAGGGTCTATCACCCTTCATTGAACCGCGACGGGGGCCGACATCGTCTACGAGGTACCTTTGACCCAGTGTTGGTGTCACACTGGGTCGTCAGTGTGAAAAGCAGGAGAACCCGTAAGGTAAAAGGTGTATTAAAGCATCATCGGAAAGAAAGTAATGTCTAAATAGAGTCCTATCACCCTAGTACGCTTACAGAAAGGCATAGTCTTTGTAAGGTAGATTAGTTGTAGTATCCTTATAGAAATAAATGCCAGTATTTTGTACCTTGTACGAAGTTCTATTATGATTTGTAATGTAAAGTCGCAACATACACTGGATCATGTCCACTGATTTTTGATGTCTTATGTCTAATGTTTATTGTTTGACTTGGTTCCGTATTGTTTTGTATTATCATTTCAGGTTTGGGAGGACAACTTGTAAAGGCGTTGATACACCTGTTTTGTCCTCCCTTCCACTTGTTGTTGCATGTGGTACATTCAAATAAAGAAATAAAGAAATAAAACAACCCACAATGAACATACCGATGAAATTTTCCAGCTGTTGCCAAAGCGGATACCGTTGGATACCAGTTCGCCAGTACGCGTTAAGAAGTCGTTGTTCATGTTGTTGTCAAAGTTACCACACATCCCGCATACTTTACCTCTGTATGGAGAAAATGTTAGTCAATTTCCATGCAAACCTCAATATAATCTCCTAGAGCTAAAAAACTTCTTTGCCACAGAAATAGAATAATACAAATGTAGGCGATGCATTTATGTATAAGCGTAGGCCCTATGCCTCCTCCAGGTTATATGCAGTGTAATAAACTGAATAATGTGTTAGCAACCCCAACGAATAGAAAATGGTTTAGTTTAAAAGCTAACTTCTGAAAAGGATTAAAAGATAATTTATATGAGAACAAATAAAACAAAGATAGTGCACACATTGATTACATCAGTTTGTTTGTTTGTTTGTTTGTTTGTTTGAGCCTTTAGTAGAATCAAGGTTTGTTTTCCCTACATTATCTGCCCCTTACTGCATAGGCATACACTTCAGCTATGAGGTTAAATCGCCAAAATGAACCATACGCATCAGCTGCAGCCTATTGTAAAGCTGGGGTGGTAAAAAAAGGGATAACCAAGACGTTGTTAGAACGTACTGATGATGTGGTGACAGTTTGATCATGATTCTTGTGCCTCTGTCCCAGATGACGGTCAGACCAATGTCCACTTGCACAATGGTGAAGAAACCGATATAAAAGATTCTCCAACTGAGGTGGGGAGATACATGTATTTATTTATTCACATGCTTCAATCTTAGACTACATGTTAGAGAATAGTAAAACCTTTATTGTTACCACTGATATATATATTCTGTATGTAATTTGCCACGTACATATATTCTGTACTTAGGATGAAGTTATCCATACACGTATTTTTACAACTAAAGGTCTAACAAAGTTAAAACTTTGTTAGACCTTTAGTTGTAGAAGACCATACAAAAGTCCCTGTACTTTTTGTTGTGTCAATTAAGAAGCCCTGAAATTTACTTGCTGTGGCCTTATCGTGAAGAGATGATGCAGTTTGGCCTGGCTTAACGACATTGATTTACGCTAAACGATTTTGTTTTCACGCTTGGTTATTTTGTAACGTTATGTATTGTTTCTGTGTCGATTTTATTGTTTTCATGTTTCACTTGTTGTTACAGGGCATTCCTGAAAAGCAGTGGTTTTAAATAGCACTAAGATTTCTACTCTGTTTAAATAAAACATAAAAACATAAACATAACAAAAATAGATAAATAAACTTACGGGAATGATGTGAATCCTATCATAGAACCTGACACGGCCCGAGTGTACGGCTCCTTGTCTCTCTCCAAGACGATCTCCAGGAGCTGCAGGGTGATGGTGATCGACTTGGAACACGTTGTACCGGTGGAACCACAAGGCACGTTCTCTGCGACAACTCGGTACGTACCTGTTTGGTTATGGCAGTGATCCTGAATCAAACGGAAGAAGATGACATAAGTGTACCTTTTGTTATTATTATCATTACCGTTATTGGATAGTTTTTTTTTCTTTTTTACCTACGGGGAAGGAGACATCCTTCCGCGGAATGGTTTGGGATTTTCATCTTCGCAGCTGTTTCTCGCGTTGGGGTGGACGGATTTGTTTGGGACTCGGTATTTGTTTTGCTATTGGGCTGTAGATGATGCACGTTCTTTCATAAGTTCATTGGTACATGTTATAAGCTGCAGATGAAAATGTTGACCTGTGTTAACCCAACCTGGAACGCTGAGTCTAACACATAAAATTAACACCATCATAACAAACAACATATAAGAATATACAATAAAAAGCCCGGAGGTATAAAATCTCAGATTTTACTTGGAACACGTATTATCATTATTTATTGTATCCCAATTTTATTGTTTGTATGTGACTGTGTGTGTGTTGTATTTTGTTTACTTGTGTAATAGTGTTCCATTTTTTTTCTTACCGTTGCCATAACATAGCCACAGTCTCCCTGGAACCTGAATTTCTTCCCATCAAAGCTCCCAAAGTGGGGGTCTCCATAGGCAATACAGTAACCATCACATTGTTTTTCTGTGCAGTTCCAGGCTCCTCTTGTGCAGTAACTAGAAAACAAGGCAACACAGTGATTTGAACTCCCAAGCAAAGCAACACGATCTTATTTATTCATTTATTTACATATTTATTTATGAAGATTTACCACATTTGTGGAAGGATTGACATAACAGATGATTAGGCTGAAAGGTTTAAAAACAAACACCAAGAAGGTCCTCTACTCTTTTTAATAAGTGTGGTGTGTTACAACATGTACATAAGAGGTCGGTATGTGCAAAAAAGCCATTAGATAAGTGCCTACGTACCAAGTGTTGCAGTCCTTGACCACAGACTCGTCTCTCTCGTACCACTTGCCTCCGTAGCGACATCGGCAGTCGTCCGGTACCACGCACCTATCTCCATCCTTCACCAGGTTCGGCGGGCAGACGCATCCTAGGGGACATCCGAAAATAGTTTCATCAGGTTGACAAAATATAGAGTACAGGAGTTCTCATTTATACAACCAATTATCTCACCTAGAGTTCTGACGTTTCGGTGTCTAAAGGCTCACTACTACTACTACTACTACTACTACTTCGTGTCTAAAGGCTCACTACTACTACTACTACTACTACTACTACTACTATTACTACTACTACTACTACTACTACTTCGGTGTCTAAAGGCTCACTACTACTACTACTACTACTTCGGTGTCTAAAGGCTCACTACTACTACTACTACTACTACTACTACTTCGGTGTCTAAAGGCTCACTACTACTACTACTACTACCACTACTGCTACTACTACTACTACTACTACTCCTACAAGAGTAGTTGGCTACTGGCTAGTATGGGATAGGAATGAACTTTACAATCATTGGAGGAATTTCTGATGTCCATACAGCCTTTGATATATATGCCTATGTATAACTTACAGGGGCTGTCACAAGTCATTATGTATACATAATGTAGGCAAAAGAATATGAACGAAAATATATCATATAATGTTTGTCTACAATAGGATTGACACATTTGATGCTACATGGCGTAAACAATGTTACTCATTCACAAGTCCTCAAACAACATTATCCAATCTGTTCTCAAATCTGAAGTGATATTCCGCAGCAGATTCTTTTGCAATAACTGGGCCCGTCTGTACATATAGTCATAATATTCTTTTACTGATGTAATTGTGTGTGTATTTTATATGTATGTTGTAATATGGGCGAGTTATGCCTGAAATAAAGAAATAATAAAAAATAAATATCAGAAAGGGCAAACCTGACATGCACGGTGTGAAGGGTAGGCAGAGGGATTCCTGGCCCAGCATCTCACAGGTTGGCTGACAGGCAGCCCCACTGGTGCCCGCATGCTGCTCTTCGCCGCAGTCTATGTACTCCTGGCCTTCAGGACAAGTTTCTGAAAACGGGGAGTAGGGGTGGGTCATTAATGGCATCCAATGCAATTTCAGGGCAGCAAAACTGGAAATATTATGAATAAGGCAATCTTTGTAATACTGATACTTTGGGCATTTAATAATAATAATAATAATAGTAATAATGGTTTATTCGGCATGCATTCGTCACTTGTACAGAATGGCAGGTTCCGTGTAATTGGGACCTGAATTGCTCTGACAATTACATAATTGATTGATTAATAAACAGTTAGCACACATTAAAATCATTACGTTATTAATTATTGATATAAGATACGTTAAAAGGTCGTTCATTTAAAATATCAGATTTACGCACAAATTTTTAAAACTGCAGAAACAAGATGAGTCCTTTATTTTCTGGGTGGTATCCTAAAAATCAGCCCAGGGCCCTTCAGTATCATTTAAGTATCACTAAAAAGCCACTTAGCTTACAGGTTGAATACAAGAGAGTGCGACTTTTCAAACCTATTGTATCTCACCTGGTTCGTCCACAGTACTGGTGCAGATAACTTCGCCATTTTGGCACTGGCTGTTGAACAGCAAAACACAGCATGTTGGATACAGGGATTTTCATCTTACACAAATGGTAGTGTTTCTCACCTTCTTACGCTTCGTTACGTTTTATATAGTGAATTTTAGAAGCAATACTCCAGTCAGAAATTCTGGGGAAGATGCCTGACAGGCATCGAAACGTAAGCAGGTGATTGCAAGCGAAACGTATGTCATTGTCGTCCTTGAATCACTTGCTTGAAGTCATGAGAAACACTACCTATATTCTATGTCCTGCCAACCTGATGAAATTATTCTAGGAGGTAACAGAGCATTTTGTTTAGTTGGCTTTTCAGTTATAGTAGGGATGAAAGAACAACTATATTTCTTCGATGGAAGGTTAATCTAGTTTTATTAAGAATATGAACTACAGACCTCAAATTTATGATAATGAAAAATAAAGGTGTAAGAATACCAATCTCTTGTTGATCCGAGAGGCTGGTATTGGGAACCTGCATGCAGAAATCGCCCTTCGAAGTAGCAAGGACAGTGGCGTATTGGCACACAATTTCCGTCTTGGTCCTCAAACATGCCTGGGGGGCAGTTGCAGCCCGGAACACAGTCATCTCCACACAGGTGGTCAGGCTCAGCGATCTCTCTGCACGTTCTGCCACAGGACGAGCCGCATTCCTGGTAGGTTTTGCCCATTGGACAGCTCACATCTAGAAAATAAGGCAAACCAATTATTAGTGATACGTTTTGTAAACTATTCCTTGAAAAATTGTAAGACTTAGTACAGGCCATTACTTAGAAGCCTTACCATGTTGTTATGATAGTAGTTTGTAGTCAACGACTCCAGGAAGAATAGTATGTATGGCAACTGTACAAACTAATGGAGATCGGTCTAATAAACAAACTTAGTACTTGGTATAGGTCTCAAGGTAACGACGATGGTTGAAAACAGTGTTAATGATGTTGAAACATTGTTATTATCGTAATCTCATTAAAATACAAATGGCTTGAATTCTTGCCTGAATTTCTTTAAAGGGGTGGAGAAGAACAATAATGAAAGCAATAAAGAATACATATTACTTGAGGCCTCATTTATCTCCCATCTTAGTGAATACCATCTTAGCGGAAAATAGTCTGTTTCACTGCTGGAGAATTAGCGTTCAAGCATGAATGCGCAGAAAACAGGTTAACATGTATAATGTAAATTGTTATTAATTGATGTACTTAATTGATGTTAAAGGTGTATTTAACTCTTCAAAATCTAGCAACTGAATATTTAGCCTAACTTTTTGTATGTTGTGCTGTTTAATGTTGACAAATTTTCTTTGATAGTAGTTAGAAGTGGATGTAAATAGCAGTTGATAATATGATGTTTGTATTTCATAATGTGTGTCATGAGAGGACTCCAGGAAGAGTAGTGGTGTGTTATATGACTGTCACTAATTTCAGATTCCTTAAATAAACAAACAAACAAAAAGTTCTTCATACTCTAGTCCGTTAAGACTTGCCCAAGTCTGATCAGGCCCCAAAATAGAGTGAATGGTGGGGTAGAAAAAAATTGCCATATCTCCAGTTCCGTACGGCCAAAAGGTTTGACTTTTTGCAGGATCCTTGCCCAGATACTACTTCTTTCAACTATGTATGAGATATGTCACTAATTCGAGATTCCTTAAATAAACAAACAAACAAAATATCATAATTACTTACCACATATGCCCTGTAGTAATTCATCATCTCTCCAGCTGATGACGTGGCCAGCTTTAGCACACAGCATGGAATAGTAGGCCACAGCATCACAGAAACAGGTGTAGCCTGCTTCACACCTGCAAGTGTCATCCTTGCACTTGTCGAAATAGTAATCTGGGTCTATTTCGACGTGACATGGTCCGAAGACGTCGTCGTGGATGATGTTACACAACGTGTTCGCTTGGGTAGCTGCAACAAAATGGACATACGGTCACATTTATTTATTTATTAGACTTTCCAATGCAACATCAAGTAGCATGGAGGAGAGACAAAACAGGTGCATATATATATAATGCACCTCCGCCAGTTGTCTCTCCACATACAAAATACATAATAAAACAGTAATGATACAAAAATAGACAATTAAATGACAACATACTATAACATATTAGGATATATAACAATACATTGACAGGGTAGGTGCATTTTTTGAAAGCTTATGTCTGGTATGTGACTTTGTAGTAGGCGGCTGTACATGTCCCCTACACATGACTTACATCGAGGTGTGACGAGGTCGCAGGGCCTGATGACGTCTGGTTCCGTGTTTGCATCCGGACACATGGTGCCACCCACTTTCCACGAGTTCCCGAATTCAGCGACGTTGTCAATTTCAATGCCTTGTCGAGTGAGGCAGTCATTCCCTTGGTTGCCGTCGTACACCCCACAAAGACCTAGAGTATTCCCCATGTAACCTGGGTCCACCTAGCCGAAATAAAGACTCGGTTAGGTGATATGAATCTTTATTGCATGTTCTTGCCCAGATGGGCTAAATGCACAAGAGGATATCCAGTATGTAAAACATGAGTATTTCATACTGTTACACTATATTCTAATGCAAAGTGCTAGGAATCTATACATTACAATAATACTATAAACTACCTATCATCTACTGTTAGTTGCCCTTTCTTCTATCTTTTTGAAACATTTGGAAACATAATTACATAGTTTGTCTACTGTACATTCTTTATTGTATGACATCAAGTGTTTAAACATGTCCTGCTTTGACAAGACAATAAAGACTCGGTTAGGACCGGCAATATCATGTCATGTTTGATTATGTGTTTTGCAATTGTCTCAAAAATGATTTCAGGAACACAGGGGTGACTGGCAAGTCGGTGAATGTCAAATCACTGTGTCACTAGTCCTGAGCGCAAATGTGGGCATCCAAATGAGACACCAGATCACTATTTATTGCACTGCAAATTTTATAATACTGAAAGGACCAAAATGTTGTTATCCATATCTAGCCTTCATCTTGAAAGCATACTCCCTTCCGACCCACTCAACGCAAACGACGCCACATTATGAACTTTACTTCTTACAGGTAGCCCCTCCCTCCCATACCCTACTAACTGCCGTATCTTTGATATTGTGTTCAACTATATCCACCACTCTGGAAGATTTGACCAATCTCATTAATGTTATGTTATAGGTATTGGTGCGCCAGCCACTTTCATTTTATGCTTATGTTATACTTAATGTCATCTTTATGTTTACTTTTGTATTATGTTTTATGAGCAGCGGATTCACATAAGCACAACAAGTGCTTCCTATCCAATGCTCAAAAATCCATGTGAATAAAAAAAAACAACAACAAAAAAATGCCGGAGGATCTAAAGTCTAAGGTCTTAGGAATACTGAGAACAGCCCACCTACCTCAACCATCAAAATAGAGAATCCGTTCCACAGGATTTTGACACCCACGACTGACCTCAACTGTATGTAACCACCGGACACGTGGCGAATGTGGTACAAGTCTGAAATAATATAATCAAGTGTTCATTGTTTGGCTGGTTGAAAATAACTTTAAAAAATGTTACTTAGATTATTATACAAAAGATGGATCATGACTATTGTTTATTGTGCAATTTGTACAATATTAACTGTAAGTTCGTTAATGTTCGCGAGAATTGTATTTTTTTATATTCCTGAAACCTTCTTCTCGCCAACCCTTTTTTCTGTATCGCCCCCTCCCTCACACACACCGTGCGTCCCGACTACTGTCAATTTATTCACATAATATTCATTAAGTATTATGAAAAAAGCACCAATGGCTTATGTGACGCCTTCTAACATAAAACGAGAGTAAAAAACAATAACAAAATACATACATAATTACAAAGTAGCTAAAATATGAGTATAAACAAGACAAGTGTCAATTACGAGAATCTACCTGTACAGTGAATAAAGTTTAAAGACTACTGTCTACCAGCAACTTCTACATATGACCTGTAAATTTGAAGCTACACACCATTAAAATGAGGCAGTTCAATGCCCATGTTGCCCACCACGACCCTGAAGTCTTGGTGGAAGGTGATGACCTCTCCGTCGTTCACATTGCCGATAATCAACGTTACTGACCTATAGAAAAAATCCGATGAAACCATCAAAAATTTTGCAGAAACTAGAAAGGTAACAGTTGCAACCTTCGCATATGGTCTGCTCTGTTAATTCTTACTCAAACACGTTGATGTATATGGTCAGACAGGAGTCTAAATCTCTCCTGTTATAAAAATGCAACATGATGTAACCCAACACTAGTTACCATGGTGACAGACGTCTGGTTCAGGTCATTGACCTTATTGGTTTGAAGAAGAAGAGGAAACAGCAAAAACAATATGTTTTTCTTCGGTAAACATAATCATCAATTATTATGTTATCCAAATCTTTTTCACAGTGAATTGTAGCGGATTCACAAGGTCACTAATTATTTGAGTCATAAATGATCATCACACCCAACCAGCTTTTCCTATCATTGTTTTTCTCAACAATTCCTGTTTAAATATGAACACTGTTTGTATTAGATTAGCGCCTACAAAACATGTTCTGCCTTACCATTCATTATTATCCATTACCTAATCACCTTGTTGCCATTTTTTTACCCATTTGCTGTTCCCTGTTCTTTTTTCATGTATTTTGACGCTGTATACCTGTATGTCTGGTGGTGAGGTTGAAATTAGCTACAGTTAGAGTGCCTCACCACCATGTCCTGTATTGTACATGTCGAATTCCACCTACTTTGGCGTTAAATAGCGGCGAGTTGCAGAACTCCAGTCAGAAGCTCTGAGGAAGGTGTCTGATAGACATCGAAACGTAAGCAGGTGAGAACCTTACTGGTTGTGTAAGAAGAAAATTCTATACCCTAAGTATCTTCCAACCTGATGAAATTATTTACGGGGGGTCGAATTCCAAATTTAAAAAAATGAACACTCACTCAGTGCATGTGTCACCCTCAGTCTGGCATTCAGTTTGCTGCACAAGCACCGTGAAGAGGTTCCACCCCTTGTCCTTGGCGAACACATACTGACATTGGCCAAAGAAGTCAGATCGCTTGCCGTCAAAGCTTTGGAGGTGCACACCACCATATAAACTGCATGTGGCTATAGAATAGTAAATTAAATTAAATATAGTTCTTTATTGCAAATTCATGCCCGAGGGCTAATTGCAAACAGACAGTGACAAGATACAAGACTATGTGATAACATGAAGTTCTACGTGTACGATATACTTATTAAACCTAGTACTATCTCTACTTAAATCTAATAACGTTGGTATACATACAGGATAAGCAGTAGATATGCAATATATGAACAGGTAAGAGGAACAATGTAACTGCTATTCTAATCTATTCTAATCTATTCTAATCTATTCTATTCTATTCTATTAAACTATTCTTGCCATTCTATTAGGTAAATAAGTATAAGGCGATGATGTAGCAACTGTATTGAATCCTTTACATGCTTATCATGAAAGGTCATATGTGTTGGTAGTTATCATAGTAAGACGTTGAACTTTATTCCAACAAACACATACTACAGAGATCAAATTTTCAGCGACCACTGTCGCCTTCATCAGGATAATTAATGACCAATCACTTCACAACGTGATCTCGCGAGAGTTAGGGTTACAAACACGTGTACATGTATTGGCTTACCAGGGCATGGGTCCTGTGTACACTCCCACTGTCCACCAGTGCAGTAGCTGAATATGGAGAATGAATGAATGCATGAAGAAATTTCTCAAGACAAATCAAGAATAAATAAGAAAAGAGCAAGAGATAGTTCAAAGATTCTTTTCTTGTACATTTTAACAGTGTTATTGTTTAAGGCTACCCAATCATTCACCCGGACGGAGGCCTGGCGAACCCCGTCTGTATTAGCCAAATCTTGGAGAGGAGATAGGCGCCGCCAAGATTATAAGCCTACTGAAACATCATGGCAAGTCCAGACATGCTGCTGGCTGCCATGATGCCCCTACGACCGCTCACGGTTATGGGTCTTACATACATACATACATACAAAGCAGTGGCAATACAAAAAGGGTTATCATCATCATCATCATCATCAAATTAGGGCAAGGGCTGTAGAGACTGCTGAATCAAGAACCCTTTTTTATGGTAGGGTAACCACACAAAAACTGTTGACCCTTAAATAAGTGTAGTCACAATACAATAGACCCCGAAGGGTACACAAAGCGAGAGACCCCTAAGGGTACACAAAACTAAGCATCTGCTCCCATCAGCTCAGTCCCCGAGAGAATGAGAGAAAAAAACTGATAAGAACAGATAACTACACTTCATCTTAGCTGAATCAAGAACAAATGTAAAGAATCTTACCATCTGTTGCAGTCCTGTTGGAAGGACTCTCCTGGACTGAATACGCCCATGCCGTCTCTCGTGCAGCTGCAGTTGTGGTATGGCACACAATGATCTCCATCTCGATACAGGCCTGGCCAAAACAAAACATGAAGGTTTGCCTTGTTGTTGAAGGTTAGAGATATCCAGGTAAACCAAATGCAGAGATACTGCAAACTCGAAAATGCGGGCGGATCTACAACCCCACATTAAAAACTCTGGAATACATGGGACAATGTTCAAATAATAGTATAGTTTTCCTTACATTAAATCATTTTCTTCACAATCCAAATGTGCTCCCGGACTACAACACGGTATTTGCTGCCATGTTCCATGTTGAAAACTTACGGCAACTATTGACTCTGCGGGTTACGGTTATGCAATGATATACAGTACATGTAATATATGTAAAAATCATGAGAGAGAGAGGGGGGGCGTGAGGGAGAGAAAGAGAGAGTAGAGAGAGAGAGCTAAAGAATGGGGAAACCTATACCTTCTGGACAGTGGCAACCATCCACACAGTGTCCCTTGCAGTCGCCCTCCTCGGTGTTGATGTTTTTGCATGTTTTAGGGCAAGCCGATCCGCACTCCATGAACTCAAAATTGCTGGCGCAGGATTTTTCTGCAGGACGAGAAAAACATGATTTAAATCCAGCGGAAAGACATGACGGAAGGCGATGAGAATATGCATCTATTTATCTATTCACAAGAAACACAAGTGGAAGGTAGGGCAAAACAGGACCTGGTGCAACCATTGCAAGTTGCCCTCCCAGACTCTACAATACAATATCAATGCAAAATCATAAATCGCATTATGTACAGTACATAATATAAATTAAGACATAAAGAGGAAACTGTACATTGTGCTAAAGCAGTCTTAGGGCTATACAGTTGGCAAGAGAAGAACCATGTGCAAGGAGAGTCAGAATTGTAGTGTGCATGAAATCTAGCTCTTGGGGTCGTGTGGCGTAGCGGCTCGAGTGCTCTAGTCGGAACCAAGAGGTCCCTGGTTCGAGTCCTGACATGCCACCGATCTTGTGCCATTGGGGAAGGCATTTTACACGTCCTGTTCCGTATTTGTCATTTATGTTGGTGACGGCATAAGAATATGTCGATTTAACTTGAGTGTGCCGTCACCATGTCTAGTCATGAAATGTTGGAAAAAAATTGAGACTTACGACAGAGGCCTTGCCTTCTCCATTCGATGACTCGGTCAGAATGGGCACAGTCCTGGGAGTACTTGGTGAATATGTCACAAATGCATTCCCATTTATCACGCCTGGGGGCAAATAATAATAATAATAACAATAACCTTTACTGCACATTCATGCCCTATCGGGGTAAGTACAGGTGAACAGAATAAAAGGTAATATACATGCTTGTAGTACAAACAGCTCTAAAACTTGAAATGGGTTTGTGGATGATCAAAGCACATAAGAAAAACGAATTTTTCAATATTAGTCAAGTATTGAAAGTATGGAAACGTAATATATCTAAAAGAGCATTTCTATCATTACTATATAAACTACAATGAACGACAAAGTGAACTTCATCTTCTACTTTGTTGAAGTTTTTCATCAAGGAGTTAGTTCATGTGCTACTGTATATCCATGGATTTTTGCAGTGATTTAATTTTGCAGTGGGAGTTAAAGGAGTTTTTGCAGCGTACGAAATTCTATGGTCAAAACAATACAGTAATGTTAATGTTACAGGGCATTCTTGAAAAGCAATGGTTTTAAATAGCACTGCGGTTATTACCCTGTTTAGATAAAACAGAAATAAATAAATTGCTCTTACCCATGGCTAATAGCTTGACAATAGGAAGATAGGCAGGCGTAGACATATGGAAGGGGGTCAACCACGTCATGACATGGAGAGAAGTCGTCAGAGTTCAAAATGTCATGACATTCCGTTATGAATTGCTGTAAGAATGAAAGGAAAACTCATTTAGTATTGTGCGTCAGAAATTTGTTTGTTTTCCCATCCCATAGAAACAACCAACATGGCATTATTGTATCAATCGTAGTGACATATACGAACACTATCATACCCATGACATGTGCTGGATGTGGTATCAAAAAGTTAGTTTTTGGCGACGTCTCAGGGAGGAGCCTAATGGTAACAGTATTGTGGGCAGTTTGCAAAAATTCTAGGAATGGTACAGGCATTTTGTCCACAGGAATGGAATGTCCACAGGCATGTCTCTGACCCACATCTATGCCCACATTCCTGGAAACCCTTGGGAAGACCTCTCTTTCCCGGATGGCCCTACTTTCTGTGACTCCGGGGCTCATTCACTATACATTCAGGGGAGGAGTGCACTGTATCTGTCTAGACTTAACAGGTACCAAGTCTTCCTCAAAATCATTAAATCATGTTAGTGCCATGCAAACAATAACCCTAACAGCAATCACCGTCGCCATGGCAATGTTTTCATTGCCAGTCTTGTTAGCTTTTGGATGAGAAAAATGGTGTCAAAAGGGAAAATCAGAACAAGGTCTTGTGAGAAAGTTTGTTCAATTTTACGGTACCCTCAGTTTTAGATGGATTGAATGTAGTAAATTTCAAGTTCACCCCCTAAGCCTTCCATTTCCTCTTGCTAATAAAAAACATTTATACCTATAACATTTATACGTATAGTAAGATTTATACCTATAAGTCTATAACATTAGGCAAATGACAATACAGGCAAATGACAATATGACATAGTATGGTTGACAGGAGATCTAAGCAAACGAATTGGTGACAAATATAAGATCTGACATGAAAGTATACAAAACTTTATCACCACATCAGAACGTTTTTAAAAGTTTTCAATTTCCCCCTTTGTTATCCATGTACTGTGTCCTCTTTGCCATCATGTATCATTGGGTGGGGATCCAGACTTGCGCTTTTGAATTTCCTGTATATACTGTTTTGCCTGCCCTAAAGTTGCGTTTGTTTGTTTTTTCTTTATTATATGTATTTATTTAGTGGTGCCGTCAACATAAGTGTTTTCCACTTGAGTGCGGCACCACCATGTCCTGTACCTTTTTTTTGTGAATGATTAAAAAAAAAAGTATACATACGTCTCTCTCGGAAGTTGAGAATGCTGAGCAGGAACCTGGCGCATCGAGGGGCACACTGGGACAGGCAATATCAGCCCTCCAATGCTCGAAGTATGAGATAGCTTTCATTCGAGGAGTGACTGGAAAACAGAAGAACTTTATTGCACGACAATTGCACATGGTACAATGTATGGCAAACTACATAAAAAGAGAGTAACAACAATAAGATAAGTGTGTTGCATAAGACCTTATGTCGAATAAAACCTAACATATCTACATGTATATCATAATCATTCAAATAATAAGGGATATCACAAGTTTTTGATAAAGTGTTACAATCGAGTGGGCTAATCACAAGTTTCTGCTTGTTTTCTAGTAGCAAAGCATTCCTTTATATATCTACCTATTTTTGCGTTGTGGGGACCATTACATGTAAAGATATATTCAAATCTGTCTCCAACAGCGAAACTCTTAAAATCTATGGTACTTGATTCGAGAAATGTAAATAGCTTGTTACGTATAACATCATATTTGGTACATTCCATAACAAAATGAAATTCATTTTCTATATGCTTTGGACAAAATGGACAGAACCTTTGGTCAGGGGCTATATCAGCTACAGTATGTAAAGGATGTGGTATATCTCTATGTTTGATTACCTATCTCTATGTTTAATTATTTGATTGTCTATGTCCTTTGTAACTTGTTCTATTTGGCTACCTTGGAAGAAACCAGTTCTGCTAACTGAAGGTACCACCCAACAGCTTTTTAAGATCAATAAATAAAAAAAGTGCTGATGTCACACTTCAAAGAAGCCACGTGATAAGCTTCACCTGGTCAGTCTACTGAGGAAGACCAGAGTGGTCGAAAGCTCTAGGTGGGAGAACTTTATTGTGTTTGGTCAAAAGTTTTAACTTTAAACATGTAACTACCATGATCACAGGTGAACTTTCATGATAAATTGTGAAAAACGTTAACTTACACCCATGCACCGGATGCCCATTCCTGCCAACCAGGTCGTCTTCAGGGTTCATGTTGAATGAACCGATCAAGCCGCTTATTCGGTTCATGTAGCCGTCACTCGGCTCCACAGTGATGGTACTGTAGCCGTCGTACCAAACCTACATACATACATACATACATATATTTTTAATGGATAACTAGAGACGTAATATTTGCAAAGCAAATGCATAATGTTTACCTTCGGACATGGTCTGCGCTGTTAATTCTTACTCAAGCACAATTCACATACATGTACTACTAGATCCTACTAGTATACGGTGACAGGAGCAGAGCAGACCATGAAATTGCAACATTATGTAACCCAACACCAGTCACCATGGTGAGAGACGTAAACAAATCATGTCATTGGTCAGGTCATAGGTCACTGTTTGGAGAAAAAGGAGAGGAAGAAACTGAGCAAAAAATATGTTTTCCTTCGGTAAACATAAAAAGGCAACTGCTTATGGGATCCACATTTAAACCTTAGCTATATATAGATGAATTACAAAAATATAAAATATATAAAAATATATAAACCTGCATCTTCCGTCCGCCGGAATCCCGGGTAGTCACGCAAATCCAGTCGCCCAGTTGTTCAAAAGTGATTCCGAACTCTTGGCCTGGCAGACCCACCCTTTGAGAAATCAGAAGGTAAATGTTTAATATTCACCTTCTTACATTTTCCGTCAGACTTTGGGTAATTTTTGCTCCATGAGGGTCAATATCATTGGAATAGTGTAGTTTCAATTCAGTATGTACATAAATGACTAGAATATTGGCTTTGGTAAATCTGGTTTCCAAGCCCTAAAAACTGCACTGAATGCCTTTAACATGACCTATACCATTATTACGTCACAGTTTGTTTACCGCAATGAATGCCGGTCAATCGACGTTTATATTGTACAGGGGTGCGTAGCGCGGTATGTGTTTGTGTAGCGTTAGCCTAATATAAGGCTTTTGATACAGTACTACTTTCGTCTAATGTCACAACTAAATCACCCATGCGGCATGTAATGCTGTGTCAACACAACTAGACGCAGCAAAAATCAGACATACCTTACTTTGATTGAAAACTTTGAAATGATCTTTATTCTTTAACTGACCGTTCTAGAATGTTCTTTAGAACAGGTAAACAAACTGTGACGTAATAATGGTATAGGTCCATTCTACCTCTTGTCTCCGACGAAGACCGCGTGATGTGGCCGTAGATAAACGACTTCCGACAGACCGGTGACCACGATCCGAGCTGACCGATAGCAGTGCGGAGGGCCTGGGTCACATGGCTCCCTTTTCACAAAAATCTAAATGATGAAGAGGCCGAAATGCACTCATCAGTACTATGTAACTAGTATACTCTGTTTTGTTTGTAACATATAAATAATATAATACTTCTCTTGTTGATATATTGCTGTATGTATAGGGGCTTAGTTTTCAGCGTACTACTTTATGTTTATGACTATCTATATGACTATTGTATTTATGTTGAATGTTAAGTGGGGCTGTAAAATAAGTTGTATAACTTGAGTTCAGTCCCACTTCGTCCTTGTATTTGTATTGCTTTATTCAATAGTACTATGTAACTCAGGAAAAGCATGTTAATGTGATATAAGTAACTCTTTTATTCAAGTTGTGTAAAAGTCGAATGTTATTTTAATGATTGTAAAGTATGTGTAGGATGTTAAGTTGTGTAGAAGCCGAGTGGTAGAAGTCCAATGTCAACTCGTTTTTATATGATTGTGAAGTTTGTGTAATGTTTTGTTTTGTGTTATTGTTGGAATCCAGGAAGATTAGTTGCACAAAAATTTGTGCAAATAATGGATATCCCAATAAAATATCAAGTATCAGTATGCATTTGGCCCCATATGCAAAAACGATTAATAGAACTCATTATTTTCCATTGAGGAGAATACTAAGTATAATTTGTTATTACAGGCAACGAGCAACTTCTGCACAATGCTTTTTGTCTTATTCTATTATCACTCCAGATGTGCAAGTAACAATATAACATGGCAATCTGTATCTGTTGGTATAGCCGGTATACGTATAACCGTCCTTCGGCATAACACACCAGCTTCGTAAGCACGCGGCGCGGTCGTAGCTAGCTCTTTTACAACTATTTTATGGCCTGTTACACCCACACATTGCACGTGTACATGTAATTGCTTAAATCTTTCTAAGGCTAATGCCCCTACTGTACTTAGTGGCATTGAGTTCCACTCTGCGGTAGTTGTAGGAAAGAATGGATTTTTGAACACCTCAATTCTTGGTTGACTCTGGTACTTGAATTCATGGCATTTCAAATGACAATATGCGAGATAAAGAGGCACTGTGATACCTGGATGTTAAGGATGTCGTCGCAGGCAAAGATGTATTCACAGTCACCCGGGAAGTCTATCAACATGACTCCATCAATGGTGACGAGGTTGGTCTGTCCACATCGCCCGAAAACAGTCGCGTACCTGCCTCTGTGATCTTGGCCTAGAATGAAAGGATTATTAATATGATTTTTTATTGACACAACAAAAAAGTACAGAGACTTTTGTATGGTCTTAACTAAATATCTAACAAAGCTAACTAAAGATCTAACAAGAAGCCATAGGCGACAATTCTCCGTGAAGTATTATATATTGCAACAAAAAGAAGTAGCCATTGGCGACAATTCTCTGTGAAGTGTGATAAATCGAACAAAGAAAAATTGTTTAAACGCGCGTCGGCTCAGTCATCTTAAGACGCAACAACCAATCAGAGATGCGAGATGCCTACACGTGACGCGGGAAGGGCGCGCGATGCCCGAAATATTTTTGCGTCAATATTCAGCGCCGTGATTCAAGAGATTAATACCCGGAAACAATTTTTTTCTTGTTTTGAACGCATTAACATGCATTTACGCTAATCTAGTATGATTCAGGGTTACTTTTTTTTAACCTGCCATGGCCAGATTATCTAAAGATGTGTGTATTGTGTGTACAATCTATAGAAAGAGAAATGTACATCAGGTCCGATCATCCGATTTTCACGTTTCGGTTTTTTGGACTCGGTTCATGAACGTATTTTGGTTTTGCTCCTGGAATGTGCAAAAAAATGACTCCCGGGACTGTCTACAGGGAACACTCGCACATTCGCGGTGTATCAGGACAGCGCGACTGGTCGTCATTAGCGCAGTAACAGTTGCATAAACGGACGAAACCATTTCAAAGAAATGGGGATGTTTCGAAAATAAGCATTTACTCAAATATCAAAACAGCTACGGTAAAAATAAAAAGACGTGCATCATCCCGGACATAATGCAACACCACATGCGAAATTACACAGAAATGCGACGTACGGAAGAATGCGTTTTGGCTGCGAACATCTTCCAAAAAACTTGGCATCTCTTAACCATGGGCAAAAACATCTGGAACCACTTATAAAAACCACCCCGTATCTGCATGAACTTTTTTGAACCCCACTGCTATTCCAAACAACGCGTTTTTCTGGACCATTCCAATTCGCCTCGTAATTGTAGGGGTGCGTCTGCGATATTACATTGACCGCGAAAGCAGCAACGGCAAAAATACACATTCGTGCATCAACACGGGCATGCCCGCAGACGGCGTATAAAATTGCGTGCCGATTACACAAAGAGAACCCAGTGTTTTGACTGCGAACATGAAAAATCAGCCGATTACAACACTCCGTCCGGAGGTCCTGACCTCCTTCACGGAGTAACAAAGCTAAATACATGTGTGGATAACGTCATCTTTCGTACAGAGTATATGTATGATGTAACAATAAAGATTAACTGTTCTCTAACATGTGTTCTCTAAGATCGAAACATTCTTTAATGTATTTTCCTATTTGAACACTGTATTGGTTATCTCCCCTGAGAATGTAGTTGCATTTATCTATAGGATCTAACGTATTGAAATCAATTGAACAAGCGGAAAGAAAGGTGAACAGCAAAATCAAACAGGCACATTAAATTCATAGGCTGGATTGCTTTGCATTACAGATGGTACTTGAAAGGAAACAAACTACAAGTTTAAAACACAGTTAGAACAACCAAATAGAATAATGAAAACAGGTCGGTCAGTCCAGTTTAACATTGTAAGTACGACTCTGGCAGCAGTTAACATTTTCAGCAGCGGAAAATGGAAATAACGAAATTTTTGCTATCGCTGCTTGTTTGAGAGATGGGTCAAGTAGATAAGTGGCATGATTCATATACACAAGTAGTGATGCATACCTAAACCCAATTTCAGGTTCTGGTCCGGATTCAAGTCCAGAGGTTTAGGTTCAGTTCCGGACTGGTAAGTCCGGACCTAAACCCATGGCATATACAAAATTGCATGTTGGCAACCTTGCAATGTTGTCTGGGTGAAACTATGGCCACATAACATGGAGGCCGGTACTTGACGATGCCCGATGGAAATGTTTTCTTCATTTTGCAGCAAAGATTTTGCAATCTACTGAACGTTTAGGTGGTTTGGAAAGAAAAGGGGTATGTGAAATGGTCTTTTATGGTAATAAGTCCGGACTCGGTTCTTGACTTTTAGGTTTTTTTTAACTTGAACCTAAACATTCTTACAAGTCCGGATCCAAGTCCAGTGAACCGGTATGCATCACTATACACAAGTATTTTATATGTTACTGAAAGTAGCCAGACTTGTCAGTGCATGTTGTGCAGCAACACAATAAAGGTTTGACGATGGCAAAAAATGTGAATTCTCCTACATTATAGGTTACTGTTACAGAAGTTAATTGTCATGTTAACTCAATGTAAGTTTTCCCATACTTACTTTTGTGGATGTTCAGTGTACTGTTTGTACTTGACGCTATTGTTGGAGAAAATTGATGAATATACATGAGCAAAGTAGCTTATTTATTAGCAATAATGACTTCTTACATGGTGTACTGGGTTATATTGCTTTTGAATGGGCCATAGACAATTAGCACACACACACACACACACACACACACACACACACACATAAATGCTATCTATTCTTGCAGCTGATAGTTACAGTTGTTTCATCTGTAGTATAATGTAGTATGTAGTATATTTCAGTATGTATGTAAGTCACTAGAATACTGTCTTTACAAAAAATCTGGTTTCCAAGTGCTAAAAACTGCCCTAAATGTCTTTATGTTTGTAGGACAGTGAAGAGTTGCTCTCACGTATTTCACAGTAGCGTCCAGCGTAGTTTCTGGGACAAGTACAGAGGTTGGGAAGATTGCATATACCACCATTTTGACATGGTTCGTAGCAAATAGCTGCAAGATGAATACAAGACGAAATGATGAGATGATATTTCTTTGACACGACACAATTAAATGGACTTTCATAAGCTCTACTACAACTTTACATACTTGTTGACTTTTGACAATCCATACATTGTGAATATAGGACAGTATTTTAAAGAATGTCTAAACGTAAGAAATTCTCTTAATGATTGTATAAGCGCCTTTTCATCCCATATCACCTAGTATTGTACTACGTAGACTGATTTGTTAGATTTGTTCTCTCATTTCTGCCATACTTTGTACCTTGTACATTGTTGTGTAATAAAAGTCTGTATCATATAGAGAAATCGATACAACTTAATGAACCTAGCACATGTTGCGTGAGGTGTATCACTAGGAATACTAGCTCTGAGGTCTTAACATGGTATATTTACCAGTAACATGGTATATTAATCTGTACACAGTAAGAGATTTCTCTTTCTAGAATGTACATGTTATTGCATTCATCTATTGGATGGAGTATATAAAATTCAGATGACCAAGCGTCTTCAGCAAGCTCAGTGTACTAAGGATGTAAGGAGGAGCAATGAAACGAGTTACTGAAAATGCTGTTAGGTTTATGCTGAGAGCTTTCATCAGAAACCCATTTACCGTGACCACAACGTACATATATGTATATAGTACATGTTGTACCATGAAGCAAAATTCGTACGATTTCATACAACTACACCTAGTCAATTAACAAGAAAGACACAATGAGATACCTGATTCACAGTGTTCGCCCGTCCATCCTGCAACACACGTGCACTCATCGGGACCGGTACATGCTCCCCCATTGAGGCAAGCTGGGTTGCAAATAGCTGCAAATGAAGAAAGGGAGGAGGAGTTAAACTCACCCAAATTTCCAACGGCAATGTTGCCGTGTACAATGCAAGGAAGCTAGCAGTCAAGCTACAAGAGAGATCAGCAATTTAGTTTTTTTACATATGAAAAATAGACCATTACAATGATCCTATCCTAACAGGACTTACGTATGTTACAAGTGGGCCCTGTATATCCATAGTCGCAAGTGCAGTGGTTTGGTGCTGTACACAGTCCGTGGTCACCACATGAGTTTTCACACACCGCTAAAAAAGGAGATAAATATGCATGTATGTATATTATGTATGTATATTATGTAATACTATGTATGTGGTTTATAGCATGATAACTCAAGAAGCGTTGGGTGGATTGTCATGAAGGTAGGTGTCTATAGGTGTTGATGAGACCTAAAAATGTTAGATTTTGGCCCCCTGGCGGCTTGGTACTGCAGCAGAACTTCAGGTTTTGATATCTTAGGATCTGCACATGCTATGGTCACGAATTTGGATGGTAGATAGCTCTTTGCGGAGCTCTTATTCAAGATACGAATACGGTTTGCATTACTGATCTAACAAGCGTAATTTCTGTGACAAAGGATACGAATATACGCTCTATACATCTAAAACTATCTGGCCTAATCACAAAGTGTATGCTCTAGGGTACCCATAATAAAAGGGGCGCTTACCATTTTGACAGTAGTAACCTTGCCACCCTGGGAGGCACGTACATGGATACTCTGGGTTTTCACAAGTCCCACCGTTCTCACAAGGTGGATCGCAGCTAGCTGCATTGGTGGAAAAAAACTGCGTTAGGAAAGTCCAATCCCTCATATGACGTTTCTTCTAAACAGTACAAAAATGTAAAAGTACCGCAAGTTTGACGCACCTTGTTTCACTTCCTTGTAAACCTTGGAACTGATTCATAATAATTGTACTTCAATGTTTACCCTATCTAGACGGGGGGGGGGG